AGTTGGAAAAACATTATAAGAATTATGAAGTCACTGCTAAGAAATTTCAGGAACAACGTGAAGCTCTTTTAAAAGACTTTGAACAGGGTGTTGAGACTGGTCACAAGGTGCTATCTGGAATTTTTGGACGTTTGTTTCTAAAAGAAGCTCGGGGATTGATATCGGAAACTTTAGCATTGAAGAAACAAGATGCTTTTTTGCAATCAATAGATAAGGGAAAGACAGAGATTGTGAAAAAAAAGAAAATAGATAAAGATGCTGGTAATAGTGCATCACAACCTGTGGACAATTCTATTTCAACTGAAGTTTCAAAAAAGAGCAAAAAGAAAAAGCGAAAGAGTGTACCTACATCTTCATCTAGTGATAATCAACCAGTTACTATACAGCATGATAATTTAATGTCGTCACAAGAACCTGAACCTCAATCGAATGATCCTTCTACATCACAAGATTCTTGCCATGCTGAAGAACAAAAAACTTTAATAGACACGATGACAGACGATAATTTAAACAATAATACAAATTTCACTCAGTCTATAAACTTGGAAAGCACAGTCAAACCTCCAATCTTAGATTCATCGCAAGTTTTCCAAGAACCACAAACTACGTATCCAGATGAATTTCAAGACAATGGTTTGAACAATAATAATAAGTCTTTCGACGGGGAAAATATGGCAAAGTCTCCAGTTTTAGATTCATCGCAAGATCTTTCAGTACCTCGTCCACACGAATTTCAAGAACCTCCCCAGCGTCGTATTTCTACACCACCTGGCCTTAATACGAACACGAACACATTGCGATTGAATCAGTGCCCTATTACCAAAGGGAATTCAACACCCGAAGGTTTTATGGACCTCGATAATTTTAGTAGAGCAGATTTAATCTTACTTGTTCAAAATCTATTAAGCGAAAAAACACAATTGGTTAAAACTCTTGTTTCTATGCAGCAAGAAGTAAAGGCTGTTACGGATCGTTACACTAATTTGGTGGAGATGAGCAGAGAACGAGAATTTCAAACTTTTCAATTATTTGAAGCACACAAAAAACTAGAAATGGATGAAGCAACAAAGTATATTCAAAAGCTGGAAGCGCGAATTAGTCAACTAGAAAAAAATAAAGTTAGAGGTATTAACGGAGAATATGTAGATCCATGGCGTAGTCATATCGCCGGATCTCGATCAAACGTGAGGTGTGGAAATTGTGGTGGTCAAAATCATATAAGTCAGGAATGTATTACAGGATGTCGTTATTGTGGTGATCTTGGACATTTGAGCGAACTTTGTAGTTCATCGATGAATGGCACTAATCTGGAAAGTGATAGATTTTGTAAGGATAATGCATGTCCTCCAAATCTGAATAAAAATGAGGATGTGATAAGACAAAATGGGCCACAATTATTTTAAGATATTGAATTTCTGGTTACAGTTATTTGTAAAAAGGAAATTAAATATTTGTTGTTTTTATCTTTTTTTGAAACAATTCAATTATTAGCCATTGATTCATTTTCTACAAAACAGTAAAATGGTTGATATGTCTATGACAAAAGGGACCTTTCTTATACATTCTGTGTAATGTTGCGTATATCTATTTAT